TCGTTGGGGCGACGAGAGGGTTCAGCTTATAGAGCTGATCCGTTCGATAGACGACGAGTGGCCCTAGTCCCCGTGCGTTTGGGATTGGCTAGACTGTGAGCTCCGAGCAGGCCCCGAGTACGTGACCTGCATCGGGCGGCTCTTCTCAGACGACTGGGGGAGCTGGTGGAGTGAGGACGCCGGGCGACCTCTGATATACGGCCATCAGTTGGCGGAGTACTACCAGGCTATAGGACAGGAGCGAGAGGACGACGAGGACGCCTGGGAGCCAGACTGGGTCGACCCGGGAAGTGAGGTTGATGAGGAGGAAATTGACGTTACGGACGCCCATTTTCCCAGGATAGGAGTAGCAGTCCGGGCGTAGGAGGTAGAGGAGCACATTGGGACGACGGTTGAGTGAGCTTAGCTACTGATATCGGCGGATAGTGGAGAGCGGATCGATGATAGAGCAGGTCAGTGGAGTAGAGCTTCAGATCAACGACGCCAGATGGCCTAGGTCTCCGGAGACAGTAGCGCCAGGCCGGGTGGCGCTAGATCTGCCGGCCAGAGGGGTTTCCGCGGATGCGATAGAGAGTCGATGGTCTTCTACGGTGTTGGGGCCAGACGTGCACTTGTGGATGTATGTCATCGAGACGTTTGAGCTAGACAGTCAGAGGTGGCGACGACCAGGCACGACTAGTATAGAGGTAGTGGGCCACATTTACTACTCGCGGGAGGTGCTAGCCACAGTCTATTTCCACGACATTGTGCACGATCATTGGCGAGAGGAGCAGAGCGCGAGGAGGATTTTACTGGCCCAAGCAGACTCCGCGCGGGGCGAGGTAGAGCGGCTGCACGAGGGTGTTCAGGGAGTGACAACGACCTTGAGGATTGAAGGACACTTCCCATATCCTAGCAATCGACTGCGAGTGACACTTTTGTGCTTCGTGGCGAAGGAGCTTTGGGGACTTAGACGTTTGGGTGAGATCTACTTTGCGGCTCTTAACTTGGACGGCCTCTGCCGGGGGTACACTGACAGGGATTGGGAGTTGTACGCGCAGTTTGTAGCAGGGCCGCTTGTAGGCGAGCGAGGGCTCCAGTTGATCGAGTTCCTGCGGGCCATTGTACCTACCGGGAGCCCCGACCTGTATTCTCTGTACCAGCCCCTAGCCTTCTGGACGACGCTATAGAGAGAGGCTCGGAGGCCTACTGATCATTTAGCTGGAGTGGGACAGCTGTTAGCCGACACTCGTGAGGAGAGGCCGGGCCATCTCATCTCGACCGGCGAGGTTGAGGAGTATTACCAGCAGGTATATCCAAAAGCTGACGATCTTGCGTGGTACGCCGAGGATCGGGATTGGGAGGACTTCGATGACGGGTGACCAGGAGGACGGTTGGGGACATCACCTACAGGCCGAGGGACAGGAGGATATCCCATGGGGTCGGAGGCTAGATGAGGACACAGATGAGGATATGCCAGATGCGTGAGACGACTCGAGGCAGGACATATCCGAGTGAGGTTTAGAGAAGGGAGTAGCGGAGAGTATGGCAGACCGGGATATGATGAGGGTGACTCTTTCCCTGCGGCGAGATAGGACGGGTGGCTGGGAAGGAGAGGCGTTAGAGATTGTTGAGCGACAGATCGGACTCATGATGGAACATGCCCTGGAGATACGGAGGAGTATGAGATAAGCCGAGTTTACTATCTACTTCCATGGAGTAGACGAGCGAGCGCACAACACCTACTTGGCCATACTGGACCTGAGTGCGAGAGTTGTCTGAGGGGTTAGCAACGTCGAGAGATAGGGTGCATCGGAGGGAGTAGAGTGATGCTGACTGAGAGTCGGAAAGGAGATGAGGAGTGACTCAGTGGCCTGGTAATCTTATGTTCTCTCACGAGAGTCCGACTCGTGAAGTGTGAGGAAGCTTGTGGGACCTAGAGAGACGACGGTTGGATACGACATTCCACTTCCTGTGGCGTTAGAAGGGGCAGGGCGTATTCCGATACGATACTTGGGAACGTGGCTCGCGGAGGGGCTCTTCCTTTGGACAGTGATACTATGAGACGAACGACCCGAGAAGACTCATGATCTAGAAGGGGTCGGACATCTGATAGCGGATAGAGCACACGATTTAGAGATAGGACTGACGCTCGCAGGGGCGAGAAGGAGTTGGTGGAGAAGCGAGTCATTGGCCAGAGTGATCGTTAATCAGCAACTGGCAAGACTCTCTGGAGGGAGGACGCGTTGGAGCCGCTTGGTATACGGTCCACCACATCCGACCCTCCACCCGAGAGAGGATTGGCGATTYGGACTTCCTGCCTTCGTGATAGGGCAGACCTATGGGAGCGTACAACGTTTGAGTAGAGCAGTGGACCACWCACTTTACGCGCTCTGGGAGGGCTTAGCGCCCCGTTTCMGAGAAGTATACTACGYCATTTGTGTGAGGTGGGGACCGCCCAGTAGAGAGACGCTTGACGACATCATAAACGTTACTAATTGGGTGGACTGTCTGAGCCCAGTCGATCTGATTAGGTAYTRCAGGAGATGGGCGGAGATCGATTACATGRGGCTGGAGGATGTGAGGTTTCTCTTCGAGGYCGMAGSTTAGGGAATGCCGGGGAGAGCGGCCACAGTGATGYGTGTTGGAGAGCAACTGSTGAGCACCGGGTACACTGTGACGGTACTACTCCGAGYATACATAGATGGGGACTTGACARYGAGGGAGTGCAGACAACGAGCCAGGGATTTGATACACGAGCATARAGCTGATGTACTGGCGCGGGTRACCTTCCAGACCTCGATTTCCTATGAGGTGATGATATKRTCACATGGCTATATGCGTGCGGARCACTTCCATGACGAGACGGTAGAGGAGGCTAGAGCAAGAGTGAGAGGATGAGCTGGAAAAATATGAAGACTGAGAATGGAAGAGGAGAGTGATGCAGTCGGAAGAGTGAGAGAGCGCATTAAAAAACTGCTTTTGAACCAGGTAAAGGAGTTTGGGAACAAGTTAAGGGAGATCTGGCCGTGCCAAGATGAGAGCAAGTTGTGTGGGGCTAAGCTCGTGATGAGAGAGTTGAAGAGTCAGTTTAGGGAGGAAAGAGAGTTATCCAGGCATGGAGATCAGACTTTCTGGAGAGGGTAAAGGCTAGAAGCGTATCACGCGAAGAAACTAGTAAGAGGTCTGCAGAGGGCGTGACAACGGAGGACGAGGTAACCCAGGGAGGTAGCGACAGGACATGAGCGGGACTGCACTACACACGACGGATCGGTGCTCATTGCATGTGGTAGGGAGATTGGACGGACCATTGGTGTTGGTGATCGTAGGGCTCCAGCTCCATACTAGACTGTGCATAGTTGAGGAGGCAGAGTGTGACCGCCGTGCCGTGCGTGAGGCCAGGGGGACAGGACTTTGGATTGGAATAGAAGGAGGACGGAGGATAAAATACGTACTCCGAGTAACACCTTTTGAAGGACGGTCGCGGATAAGGGCATGGTACGAGACGACCAGAGAGGCTGAGAGGTTGAAGATAAGCGAAGCCAGGAAAGCTGGAAAGTTAGTGAGAGTTGTAACAGACGGTGCCATACTCAGGGTGCTGGCCGCTCACGATCGGTACTGGAAGGAGTCGATAAAGACTTTAGAGGCCATAGAATATGGTGGAGATGAGGATGACTTTGAGACATTCTATGACATTTTGGAGTTGTCGGCAATGAGGTTACTAGTAGCTATAGCACTGACTTACCTCATGCACTAGACAGATGATCTCATAGCTGTTTGGGAGTTGAAGGAGGAGAAATAGAGGTTGGAAGCTCTTGGAAAGAAAGTACAGGTCAGAAAGGTCGGCAAGCGACTTTAGATGGCAGTAGGAGGAGAGCTTCCACCTTCAACACGCTACCCGATTCAGGACGGGCTAGGAGAGCTAGGAAGGAGGGCGGAGTTAGACGCTCGGAGGCCCTTGAGGGGTTTTGATCAGGAGACATAGGCTAAGCTAGGGACTGCGATCTGCCGCAGGTGTAGAGATCTTGTCACTGGTATACTGCAGATCCGGAGAGGCGCAACCTTGTTGGCCGGTCCCGAAGTGGAGGTCTACCTAGACACAGGGATTATTGGGATAGAGGGAGAGCACGAGATCCGCGACCGGAACCGAGTACTGGTGGCAGTGATCAGGGCAGTCGAGAGGTAGGGTTGGTGACGAGCGTGAACCGTGACAAGAAAACTGGTCTGGGCTGCGAGTTCTGAAACTGGTCCGGGCTGCGAGTTCTGAAACCGGTCCGGGCTGCGAGTTCCGTCATAGATCCGGGCTGCAGCAACTGTAATAAGTCCAGGCTGTAACACCCGGTGAGAGTGCCTGGCTGCGTCTTCTGGTGGCCTAGAGAACCAGATACGATGGGGCGACAACCGACCATGGACGAGACAGGAGAGGAGTACAAAACATCGCCCGACCGAGCTCTGAGGGATCTGAAGGAACGAATTAGGCGGGACACACCGCTGAGATGGGCTGACCAAACCAATGACGGAGAGCCCGACGTAATGGGCGAGCCGGTCGTGACGAAGCCGCAGGAGGCACTGAAGACGGGAACCTCGAGCAGTCGACGAGAAGCGACGAGATGACGCTCCCCCGAGTATGAGCGAAGGGAGACCATGGCGGATAGGCACAGAGACGACTGGCGGGAGAGTTCGAGGGATTCCTATTGGAGGGACAGAGATAGAGACCGAGCGCCGCCCAGGCGAGTCTTCGACCCTCAGACAGGGGAGTCGCATCCGGTCCCTTACGAGAGCAAGGACCGTTATATTATTACGCACAAGGCCTATGAGCCACCTACTTTTAGGGGTTATGGCATCACAGAATATCTGGAGAAGTGGGAGCTTCATGCAAGTCGGAGTCAATGGTCGAAGGAAGAGATTATAGAGAACTTCCTATTTAATGTGGACCCAAGCCTCGACAAGGAAGTTAAGGAAACCCGACCCAAGGATGGGAAATGAACTACGTACAAAAAGAATCTCGTAGAGCTTTACAAGTTGGAGGATAACAAGTACTCCATCAAGGACCTTGAAACGATGACTCAAGATGAGGATGAGAGCATACGGGCCTTTGGGATGCGCTTCCAGAAGATCTCCGACGTGCTGATCAAGATGGGGAAGATCTCAGAGGTCGAACGCTGTACTATCTTCATCGGACACCTGTCCAAAGATAGACAAAAGAGTATACTTAGAGATCTTCCGCGCGACAAGCTTAACTTCCCAGAAGTCCTAAAGCTTGCGATAAGGGCAGAAGCAAACGACTACAAGGACTTAGTGTGGAGAGGGATGAGGAGACGTGATTTCTCTCTCTACAAGGAGTATGCCACGGATAGATGCCCTGATTTCAAGGAYCACCCTTGGTCGGAGAAGAGTGAAGYCGTGGCCGAGGAAGTGAAGGAGATAAGGGACATGGTAAAGGGATTGACAAGACASGTTACCGAGATTGTGACAAGCACAGGAGCCACGACTTACCGGGACAAACCCGGAGGGCTCTATTCACTTCGCTGGGATCGGAGGAACACCGATTCCTGGAGGAGTGTCGAGGAYAGAAATCCTCGCACGCTGACTGATTATCGTACGAGGGAAAGAGAGAGAGACGATGAGCCATGGCGACATAGGGATGACGAGATAGACYTGGACCACAGAGCTCGCGAGACRTATGGGCGAGCTAGGAGGCTGGATGATTACTCGCGTAGCCCTCRTTATGAGGCCGATCGGGGTAGAGGCGACTCTAGAGGCCGGTGGAAGTCAGATCAGGGCCGACGAGATGGATACAGGGACYGCAGATATGAGAGATCAGACCGAGATGGATATAGGGACGGAAGATATGAGAGGACGGATCGAGATGGCTACGGAGGTGGCGGATATGAGAGAGGAGGTCAAGACGTGGACCGACAAGACGACTCGCGTGGACGGTATGACCACGGGGGATACGCGAGAAAGTGGCGCGACGATTCGCGAGGGTGGTACAACCGAGGAGATCGGCGCGATGAGACACGCGGGCGATACGATGCTGGGGACCGCCGAAACGATTCACGGGGACGATATGAGTCAAGAGGATCAGGGGGAGACCGCCCCAACGATTCGCGCGGTCGGAATGAGAGAGGGGGATATGGCGCCTCATCAGAGCCGTATCCCAAGTCGCATGGCCCCAGAGCAGCGAGAGGTACGACCTCCAGAGGCACGGGCGACAGGCAACCCACCCCTAGGAACTCTTGCGTCTACTGTAGAGGGGATGATCACATCAAGAGAGATTACCCGGACTTCAAACGGGCAATAGATGAGGGGTTTGTCGTGCTTGACGACCACAAGTACGTCAAATGGGCAGATGATCTGGGAGATGTATCGATATTCCCTTCGATGAAGGAGAATGTCGAAGCAAGGAGAGTAAAGCCGAGTAAAGGAAAGGAACCGGTCAGGAGTCAGAGCATCAAGATAACTTCTGAGGGGGATATGGCGACCACACCCATAAGGGTGGCAGCCACCAAGTCTGCGAGAGGATCTACATCGAAGAAGACTGACACGGGTTATGTGATGGCAGAGAAGGACGGCAGCCAGCGGATCGATGGAGAGGAGGTTATTCTTTCACCGCGAAAGCGGGGAGTAAAGAAGTTCTTGATGAAGAGTTTGCTGGATAAGATTGACATTGTCGAGCCACTGAGACGAGCCCTTCGGCAGCCCATGTTGTGCTCTATTCTGGAGTACCTGGAGGCATCGAAGCGAGCTTGCGATGGGTTACAGATGATCACACGAAAGACTCGCATACCTCTATCAGAGGAGGCTCAGGGGGGCCCTAAGGCGGAAGCTCCTACCGTAGCAGTAACGGGGGGGACTGCCAGAGCGGATCGCATGGCGACAGTCCTTCTTGATGGGATGGAAGGTGTGCCACCAGACAAGTTTTACATACTTGGTAGTGGGGTCGTGGAGACGATCATAAACGATGGAGCGGTACTAGATGCTATGATCGATAACGACAATGAGGCTGTCATTATAGAGGAGGATCTGGCAGTACAGGTTGGACTGGACCTCGATTGGTCATACTTATTCGAGATAGAGACTGCTGATGGGAGAAAGCAACAGAGCACTGGGGTTTGTCACAAGGCAGCCATAGAGGTCCAAGGGGTACGAGTGACCCTGCCTGTCTTTGCAGTCAAGAACTGCAGCTCCGATCTGCTCTTGGGACGAACGTGGTTGAGCCACGTGCATGCGGTGACGATAGAACGACCGGATAGAAGTCAAACGTTGTCCATTAAGAAGCTAGATGGGACGCGGGTTATGATTGAGACGGTGGAGCCTCGGGACCCAAGGAACAGAGCAACTCTCGCGGTGGGAGCAAGACCCAGTGATCAGATTAAGTCATTACCTATCTCTGGCCTCGCAGTGCGATTTCGCGAGAAGAAGTATGGACCACTGCTCACAGAGGAAGAAGGTCGGATCGTGGAAGTGGAAGATTTAGGGGGTCGGCTGATAGTGGACGGCAATTCGTACCCAAAGGAGACAGATGAGGAATTTGGCGGGGTGGTATCTGTGTCTTTTTTAAGGGCATGGCCCCCTATGGGGGGCTACCCAAGCGACACTAGCGAGTAGCTCAAAAAGTTAAGCCAGCGGCAGTGGGCCGCGAGCGATCTCCACTGGAAGGGATATCGGAAGAAAAAATCGCAAAAGAAATCAAAGAAAGAAAGAAAAAGGAGCCACAACGCCTAACAGAAGAGAGGATAGCAGGGATGGACATCGGAGATGGAAATCTGACCGCACAGGAGCAAGAACGTGTGATAGAAATTTTGAAGACATGTGATAAGGCAATAGCTTTCAGCGACGCGGAGCACGGTAGAGTTGACCCTCGATACGCTAAGCCAGCGAGGATTTACATGATTCCACATGTTCCTTAGAATGACGCAGGATGGAAATACGCCCAGAAGGAGAAGGAAGAAGTTATCGCTTTCCTGAAAGAAAATATGGTTTTCCATGTAGCGGAGCCGTCTGATAGCGCTTATGCTAATCGATGGTTCTTCCTACAAAAGCCGAATGGCAAGATCCGATGGATCCAGGATCTTCAGAAGATCAACGCGGTGACGATACGAGACGTGGGCTCTGTGCCGCACGCCGATTTACTAGCAGAAGGCGCCGCAGGCAGGTCAATTTATTCGGTCTGTGATCTGTTATCAGGCTATGATGAGGTACCGCTTGATCCTAGGGACAGGCACCTCACGGCTATGCATACGCCATTGGAACTGATACAGATGATGGTTGTCCCTATGGGATGGACTAATGGGGTAGCTGTTTTTCAAAGAGCCATGGTAGCCGTCCTCAAGGACTTCATCCCTGATAAGGTTGAGGTTTCTCTGGATGACTTTCCTATAAAAGGGCAAGTAAACAAGGATGAGACAGAGGTTATACCAGGAGTTAGAAGATTCGTCGAGCAACACCTAACAGATATTTGCGCGGTACTTGAGCAGCTGGACGATGCGAATTTAACGGTCAGCGGAAGTCGATGGGCCGTCTCGACTATTAAGATCTTGGGCTTTATTTGTGACTCGAGAGCATGCCAAGCAGATCCGACGAAGCTAGACAAACTCCTGGACTGACCGTCACCGTTACATGGTCCAACCGAGGTCTGACAGTTTTTGGGGGTGGTCAGATACTGGCGTATATTCATACGAGGGTATGCGGAGAAGGCTGAGCCATTGAGGTTACTCCTTCGAAAGACTCAGAAATTTTGTTGGGGTTCCTCGCAAGAAACGGCTATGCAAGACCTTAAAGACGAATTTAAGGAGGGAGGACGCGTACTGGGCGTGCCATTCTTTGACGATGAGACCGAGAGACCTTTCATAGTGTCCACGGATGTGGGACCTTGTTCGGTTGGTAGGTTGCTGTCTCAGATGGACGCTGGAGGGAAGGAAAGACCGTTAGGATTTGAGAGTAGAACACTTAATACAACTGAGCGTAACTAAAGTCAATTCAAGAAGGAAGTGTTAGCTGTTCTGCGGTGTCTAGACACGTTCAGACACAATATCTATGGGCGACGGTTCATCTTGAGAGTAGACCCCACCGCGGTTGCCTCTGTCCTCCAGAAGGACTTTAGTCTGACGAACCTGACCATCGCCCGATGGTTAATACGGATTCGGCTATATGATTACACGGTTGAGAGGATATCAAGCACTAAAAATGTCGTGGCAGATGGACTTTCGCGCATCCCTCTCGAGGCCGAGCGCCCGATAGTAGCTGGAGCCCTGACTATGGCGGAGCCAGGACGCACCGAGGGATTTCTGGTTCACCTTAACGAGGGCAAATACCGAATGATCGGGCTACATTTGTCAGGAGAGGAGAGTCAAGAATCAGATATCCGGAGACAAGCGGCGTAGTACTGCCTTAGAGCTGCCCATCTGTTTCGAAGGCCGGTCGGCTCGGGGATGCGCTTACGAGTAGTCTGTGACCCTGAGGAGAGAAACAATAGTGTGGAGCTTCACGACGGGGTAGTCGGAGGACACAGGGGAGTCACAGGAACCTACGAAAAGGTACGCAGGTTGTACTGGTGGGAAAGACAGTATAAGGACGTCGAGAGGTACTGTATGACCTTTGAAGAGTGCCTGAAGAGAGCTCTTGTGAAATACAAAGAGCCACTTCATCCATCCTATCCGACCAGACCAGGAGAGAATGTACACATCGATCTGGTGAAAATGCCGAAAGGGGTAAGCAATATGAACTACGTCGTGAACATACGAGACGATTTCACTGGGTTCGTGGACGGTAGACCTATAAGGAGTAAGGCGGCAAAGGAAGTGAACAACTTTGTCCTAGAGTACTTATCTAGGTATGGTTGTGTCAGCAAGATAGTGATGGACAGAGGGGCGGAATTCCTAGCCGACGAGGTTCAAAGCGTTTTCCAGAGAGCTGGGGCGAGAGTTTCGATAGCCACTCCCTACCACCCACAGTCGAACTCCCCAGTAGAGAGGGGACACCAGACTCTGATAGCGTCACTATCCAAGTGGTGCAAGGGTAAGGACAGTGATTGGCCACGATATTTTCGATATGCGATATGGGCGGACAACGTCACGGTCCGGGCTAGCACTGGGTACCCACCCTACACCTTGTGGTTTGGGCGACATTGTCCGCTCCCCATAGAGTTTCACATCGACAGCTGGACGACCATTGACTGGGCGGAGGAGATGTCCCGAGAGGAACTCATAGCTGCCTGAACAAGACAGATAGCCTGCGGTTTGGAAGACAACCTTATGACAGCGGCAGATCGTCTGGCACTGGAAAGGGACAAAGGTAAAGAGAGATGGGATAAGAACGTGCGGATCAGAAAGGAGAGGGTGAGCATAGGAGATATGATCCTTCTCTACGACGCAGCACTGGAGAGGACCTGGACCGGAAAACTCGCAAACAGATGGATGGGACCTTATAGAGTGGTTGAGGCACTCGACAGGGGTGCATATATGATAGCGGAATTAGACGGATCCAAGTGAAAGGACCCAATGGCAGGTGCTAGGTTAAAGCTGTTTAGACCCATGCCTGCACCCACCTTATGGCGGACAGGCCCGAAAGGGAAAGAGAAGACCAAAATGGAGGATGAAGCCCCCTTGAGGCGATATGAGGCGGGAGAGAGTTCCAAGAAGAGGAAAAGGGTGGACAAAAGAAAGGTCAAGGGTTGGCGATGGGAGATAGTAAGAAGTGGTTATTCGTGCTCAGGAGAGCCAGACGGAGAGTTCGTATTAGACAAGCTGACGAGCCGGCACCTATCACGGGCCGACCTCAGAAGAGAGGGAGAATCCTTTCCAGGCCAAATTTATGAAGAAAAAGGGGAGTCAAGAAGCGACTTCTTAGTCCCAAAACTCGTTACGAACTGAAACATAAGACAATTAAACGTCGACGCGGGCGTCCATTACGGGCAATCACCCTGAAGCTCGTCCGCTTCATTTGACGTAAGTGGATAGGGCTCAACGGGGGCATCGAGAATTGGTCCGGGCTAACTGTCAGGCGGCCACAAGCAGTGCGCCGCCTGAAATCTGCAGTTTTGGGACTTAGGCTCAGGGACAAGTCCGTGTTTTGACGGTACTCTGGTATGACCAGGCAGCAAAAATTAGGAGAACTCAGCGCACCCCTGATTTTGAGCACACTGAACCTTACGATTAACCCTCAAAGACAGTGAGATGGGTAGGCGCACTCGACATATCTAGAGACCGCCATTTCCAGCCGTTCAAAAGGTTAGACCCGGATAGGCCTGTCACGGAGAGGCATCGCGGGAACTGACCTCGCTGCAACGTTTTTGCAGCAATACGACCGGGGCCGAAAAGAGGCCTCGAATTTTTGTCTATTTTAGTACCAAAATTAAAGAGGGGGAAAAGAGATTAAGACCGGTAGGGGAGAAGGGAAAAACATAATATCCCTTAATTTCTTTATTTTTCACGGCATTTAATTCTAGGGGGAATACCCTTGTTATTTTATGTTCGCGGCAATGAAATTAAAAATATAGAAAGAGATTAAAAATGGTAAAAGAGAAAAGAAACAGAAGGAATTCAGCCATTTATTTAAACTTTCTCGGAATTTAATTTTAAGGAACTTACAGTTGGTTTAATATTTCCGACAATAGAATTAAGGAAATGGAAGAATGATGAAAAACGATGAAAGGGACGGGAACCCATGACTATTGGGAGATTGGCCTAATTTCGCCTCGATTACCCGCCATCAGCCTTGACCCCGGATTGAACATTTTCCCCAGATTTTAACAGTTTTTAATACTGCCGATGGTCGAGGTTCCCTGCGTCGCTTTCGCTGGTTTGCTTGATTACTAACACTACCGCAGTTGGGATGTTCTGAGAGCGGGAGACGCATGGACAGGTGCTAGCTTGGGTCACTATGATGTTTGGTTCGGTGCGGGTACGAGGGATGTTACGAAGTGGCTACGTCCTACGGTGTCTGACGTGCTTCAGGTACGGTATGGGCCCGATGACACCTGTTTCACTACGGTGACTTATTTTCAGGTTTGGGATAGCTGGGGTGATTTATTCTCAGGACCGGAGCCACTACGACAGTTATTCCAGGTTTGGAACCTTGACGGCAGTTTGTTTTTTGGTCGCGAAATGTTGCGGCGATCTATATCAGGTTCGGGACCTCTGTGGTGATTTATTCTCAGGTCCGGGACCACTGTGACGATCTATTTCAAGTTCGGAACCTCTGCGGTGATTTATCTTCAGGCCTCCAGCCACTGTAGCGGTATATTTCTGGTTCGGTATGGGGTCGGCATCAGTATGTTTGAGGCATTAGGCCACTACGGCGTCTCGTTTTCAGGGTCAGAACCCTCGTGGTGATTTTTTTTCAAGTTTGGGACCACCGCGGTAGCTCAGTTCGGGTTCGGAACTGACACCGTTACAGCAATTGTTTCAGGCTCGGTGTGGGTTCGGCATCAACTTATTTCAGGTCTTGCGCTGGTTAAGGCTCCCGCGGAGATTAACTCTCAGGTCCGGAACTGCTACAGCATTTTACGACAGGTCCAGAACTATAGCAGTGGGTCGACTCGGGTTCTGATCTGGGACGACACTGGCACGGTGCGGATGGTTGCAATTCTGAACTTCATAATTAGCGCCGGCGCGGCGGCCCAAGACTGGTACGACTGCAGATTCGTCACTCCTGGCGCTGGTGTGGTATAACCTCATGGCCGATACTGATACGATGCTCCTATGGCAAGTCTTGGTGTGTAACACTGATCTGGTCCAAATCGGCTACGTCGCGGTAATAGGCCTGGTTCATGATCACTCCGGTCCTATATTCTTACATCGGCATAAACCTGCCGCAGCGGCTCTCTGTCGACAGTGGGGACTCAAAGCGAACGCAACATGTTGTTCTGGTACCGAAACAGAGAGTGGTAAGGGTGGACCAGTTGGGACTGTTGGGGCATACTGAGTTATTACCTCTAGTCTGCCAAGGCCTAGGGGTTGGGATTGGGCCGAGGTCCATGCTCGGGTGGACTGGGGATCCATATAGCGAAGACGTTCGGAAGAGAAAGGGAGAAGGGTGAGCAAGGTGTACCCGCGACACGAAGCTCGGAGTGGGGGCATCGGCGCTCAGGCGGTTGCACCGAGGGCRAGGAGAAAGCACGGGGCAGAACCCACAGAGCGCAAGCAATTACTCCGCATGTGGGAGGAGAAAGGCAAAGAGACTGGGCGAGAAGGTGGGGAGTGCCTGGCGTACGGGGCACTCAGCATAGCGCGTATAAGATCGCGAGGGCGCTGGACTTACACATACTGTCTCGCTACGCAGTTCTACGCGAGTAACCACGATGACGGCGCATTGTGTAGTGCCCACACCCAAATGGCTTACTTTGAGCCAAAGGGTCCCCTTTCGACGCTCAGGCGTTGGCTGAAGCGCGAGCCAATGGGGGTAACCCTTTAGCGCGCGCAAAACCGGCCTGAGGGTCTTTCCGACTTCTGCACCCTGAGGTGTCCCAACGGGTGCGGGGCAAGACGACCCCTAGGGCAGGAGGGACTTAGGAGCGGTGGTGAGTTGTCTGGCGCATCACAGCAACACGCTGACCCTTYTGCTCAWAACTTTATCGTTCCACCAAGATRAATCGCAACAAGGAGAAGAAAACAAGAATTGGCGAGGGATATCC